AAAAAAAAAAGAAAAAAAACATTTAAGAGTGAAAAAATATGATGCTCTTGAATTTCCTGCAGTTTTCTTTAATTTGCCTTTGTTCTTTTCATGTTCCTTTCATTTCCTTCAAAGTCCTTTTGAGTTCTCCAATGTTCTTTCAAAAACAGTGACGACAATGATTTAGGAGTGAAAAAAAACAAGTGTAAAAGTTGTGATTTAGGAGAAAAAAAGAGTAGTGTCATTGAATTTCCTTTGATTTCCCTCCATGTTGGCTTCATTTTCCTTTCAAGTTCCTTTCTTTGCCCTTCAAATATCGACAAATACTAAAGAAAATGAAAGGAACGAGCTCAAAGCACTATGTTTCACTTTGTTTTCATTTGTTGAATGCAATTGTTTGTAGAACACTATTTCAGTTCAATGTTTTTTCACTCCCAAATCGCTAATATGCGTTTCTCTTCCACACAGTCTGTGGGTAAGCAACAACTCTCAATTGTAGCCACTGACTGGTGATTCTAAGTTTGCCTACTGTTTTTGAAAACACGCAAGTTTGCCCAGAGGCATTCCAAAATCAAAAGCCCCAGTCGCACTTGTTTGCAAATGATGGTTGTGTTGCACTGCTTCTAAGTTGTTTGGGCCTGTGAAAAAAATTGTGTTTTTACACTTTTTTTTCAAAACACCCCTAGAACTTAGAATGCGCGACTTTTGGGGCATGCTAAGTTTATTTTCCTGCACAGGAGCGGTGTTTTATAGCCAAAATGTACCAAACATGATTTTGATGAGTTTCTTATTTTTTTTGGAATGGCACAAAAGTCATTCTTAGTTTCGGGCCGTCGTTATAAAGAGATTGCGGAAGACATCGCAGAATCAAACCACCAACTCTACATACAGATCATACAGTTGAAGTTGAAAATAGTCAGAACACGTAGAAACACCTTAAGGATTGCAGACGGCATGCGACATGCAGTGCCGTTTCCAAATCAAGACGGACAGTCGCCTGACGACATCGATTAAACAATTGGACAGTTTTGGGCAAGAAGGATGAACACGCATGCTTTCACACAGGACGCATGGGAGTATGCTTGTTGCAATGGGCTTCGGGGTCACCAGGCTACGTTCGGATGCATTTGATGTGATATGAGACGTTCAATGAAGAACTAACTCCGCAAAAAAGTCGGCTTATGTTTTATGTGGCACAGAAGAAAGCATCAATTGTTTTTGAGATCATTTCGGATCCTCAGTTTGAACCTGGCAAGGGATGCAACAAGATTGTCCCACGCAGACTGATGCAACATTGATGTCCAGGGATTTGTGGGAGTGAAAGCATGATCTTCTGGCCCATGTGAGTTTTTTTGGGAGGGTGCCGCTTAGATGTTCAGCCTTAAAAATGTGCCGTCGCCCCAGGCCTGGAGGAATACTTGCATGCTGCGGCTGATGATCTCACAGATTGGGAGTCAGTGAGCCTAGTGCATTGTCATGTGTTGTCAATCGTAACATATATTGTGGGGCTTTGTGGGCTATCCAGAGAAAAGACTGCAGGTGAGCTGTTGCCAAAACTAACTGTTGTCAGGAACAGTGCTTTGACAATGGTATTGCCTTTTTGTAGCATTTCCTCGAGAAACGACTGGTATATAACTGCAAGAACAAGATAGCCGGTATAACCCGGAGAGCGATGGGTGACTGCCTAGTGCATAAAGAGGAATACAACCTACAAGTGCGCTGCTGCTTGCTGCCATCGTGCGATCTCGGAGAATTTATTCTGCTGCCTTTTGGTTTTGTGGCAAACAAAGCACCATTGCTTCTTTGTGTCTTTGCCACAGTGATTTCTGCAAAAGGAGTAAGGGTTCACCCCATCAGATATTGTCCTTTGGAGTCCTTCCCCATCCTTCTCTCATTCATTTTTTCAGCCGGCCAAGGCGTGGCATGTCAAATGCACCCCAATCTGCGAAGAGGAAACTCGAAGGTGAGTAATCACTCACTGACATAAGTAGGGTACAATAGGGTATGGTTTGTTGTTTCTGTTGTGCGATGTTTTGATTAGAACATTCAACCCGTCCATTGCGTTGCAGATTTCGCGGCTTCTTTTTGTGCGAAAGGAATTCATGAAAGTGCATGGTTGTTGTTGCGTTTGGCGACGGCTTTGCCATGCTTTGCCTAAGGTTGCTGTCATTGCCAGACTCCATGAAAACATTTGACTCGCAGGCTCGTGGCAGCACTGGCACCAGATTCTCTTCGAGTATGGCCACATCTTTGGCGCTGAAAATGCTGAAAGGCACGGGTAATGTCCAGGTCCCTTCGCTGAGAGTGAAACGAAAGGCCAGTTGTATTGCCGGTAAACCTACTAGCGATGGCGTCCAACATACTAGCGATGGCCTCCAACTTAGCATCGATGGCCTTCAACTTAATATATATATATATGCGAAGCAACAAGGCGCAGCGACCCGCAAGGCTATTTTCAAAGCTAGGGTGGGGCGCTTGACCCCGTGAGTGTCGGCGACCGGACATGAACGTGGACCACATGATTGGAAAATCTGCATGGGTCCAGACTCTTAAATATTTTTAGATGCCATTCTCAATTCAGTCGAGAGGTCCCTTTCCTTGTTGCTTTCTCTTCTTACCGGAAATGATCCCTTCATCGTAAACAATTCTCCATCGACCATTCCGTTCAGAAAACATCAAAAGTTGGTGTGGTTCATCATGTTTCGTCAAGCTGTTAGCAAGTTGACTTTCTCCGTTGACCCACCTCAACTGCACCCCATCTTCAACAATTGCCTCCTTGAGGCAGAGGGTTTCAATGTCACTTCTCTTTTCAGCTCCACTGAGGGTGAGGACCGTGGAATTAAGTCGATCATACACGTTTTTGCTATCACTAATGAGAGCTCCTTCAACATGACCAACCGTTTCACAGGGATTCCATATGTTGGCATGATGTCCTAGGAATTCAGCCATTTGGAATCGCAGAGCAAACAACTGGTCTTCTCCGTCAACTGCAGCTCTTGTTTCTGCTGAGGCGCTCGAGCGACAGACACGGGATATCTTCGAGGAACACCAGTAAATTGGGTTGACCTCTACTAAATCCCCATCTAATACTCTCTTTGGAGTGCATCCAATGATGATGCCTTTGGTGCTACTGAGGTCTTGACGATTGCCGTGTGCAGCGTCTACCCATGCTGTGAGCATCAAATCCTCCTTCTGGAGTGCGTGGATGATCATCTTCTGACCTTGTCGTAGTTTTGCTTTTCTCAAGAGTTTGTTGGCTTCGAGGAGGTCTGTGACTTTTGCCTGAGGCACCCTTGACAGGAGCAATCCTGTGGGTGCACTAAGTTCCATGGCTAACTGACCTGCATGCCATGCCAAACAACCCAACACGCTGCGAAGTTGTTTCTTTTCATCTTCTGTTGCGAGTTGTTCGGGTTCTCTAAGTCGTTGCTTGTTGATGAAGACCTCAGAAACTTGGTCCAAAAACTCTGGCTGTGACAGGCTAAAGGAAAAGTCTTCTCTTTGCTCGATGGTGACTCCACATTGTATGAACTTCTTCTGTTCCCATTCTCCAAACTTGAAGCGCTCTTTGATTGCAGTCTTCGCATGAAGCCACCTGCTGTCAGTTGCGAGCCCTCCAAACATGAAGTCATCAACGTGAGAACAGATCCATCCTATGGGTCTGTTGTCATCATCATATAGTCCCCAGCAGCAAGGGTCGGATTTCTGCCTAATGAATCCTTGGCTCATGAGGAACTCGTCCACTGTCAAGTAGAATTCCAAAGGCGCTTGTACCAATCCATATGCTGCTTTTACCAGTCTTGTTGTGGATCCTTCTGCTATCCCCATAGCTTCGGTGATCTCCTTGAGCGGTTCAACAAAGATCTCATCTTTCACTTCTCGGCCTTGTAAAAAGGCACCTGAAATGTCTCCTTTTTCCACTGTAAAATGGTAGGCGGCACATAGAGTCAGGAACATTTGTCTTGTTCCTTTACTCATAGTCGGGCTGCTTGTTGGCCTCCATTCATACAATGGATCTTGGTATCCCAGAATGACGGCTCTGGCTTTTGCTTTCCTCTGCTCGGGATGATCTTTGTCCACTTTCCAGGTGAGGGTCCAGCGCATTTTCAGGATTTGACTTTGGTCAGGTTTCAGGTGATCCGGAATCTTGCGAAAGACCTCGGCCATGATGTAGTTCCTGACCTCTTTATCCTTGGCGCTCTTGAATTGCTCCAGTTCTTCCGGAGTCAGTCTTCGTTCGGAGACCTCAATGTGGTTCTTTCTTGTTTGACTCACCAGGTATGCTGGTAGGTCTCTTAGCCATTGTCCCTTCTGGTGCTTTTTGTTTTGAGGAAGGTCGATGGTAATCTGGATACAACCCAACTCACTGTCCAGCACTGTTGTTGGTGTGTCCGCTGCCAATGCCACCAGTGGGTGTTCTGCTAGAGCATGGTCCAACTTGATTTGTTTTGTTCTGTCTTGTTCAAGTTGTTCTCCTTGTCGTCGACTTCTCTCTTGTCCATCTCGTCGATGTAGTTTCAATGGTCTGAACACGTTTGCTGGTTCTTTCTGTAAGTGTCGTCGACGGCTTGGGGTCGGTGATTCGGGATGGATGACTGGGTCGTCTTCTAGGTCTTCTGGTTCTGGTGGTGTTTCTCTGGTCAGATCTTCATAGGTTTTGGTTTGTCCTTGTTCAAGCATCCCTGAAATGGTCCAGGGTATTGGATGATCTTCTTGAAGCTCTGCCCATGCTTCCTCTCGTTCACTGGCGTGGCGAAGTAAATTTGGGGTGGCCTTCAACAACTTTGAGCCTCGAAAAAGCCATACGTGTTGCGTCGGCCTTCGTTGACCATCACTCTCAACTTTGGTTTCGGTGGCAAGCACTCTGGCTGGTCCAATGAAACCTCCCTTTTTGAAGTTCTGACCTTTCGTTTCACCCCCGTGGTTTCCCATCTGTTTACGCCAATAGAAAACCAAGTCTCCGGGTTTGAACATCATCGACTTGCGAGCCCCGGAGGCCTTAGCCCTCATGAGTCTTTGGCGGTATTGTTCTTCCAGAAAGGCTTCTTCAGCAATCTGCATGGCCCTCACGTCATTCCCGAATTCGGCGGAAAGACCCTTCTCCGTTATCACCGGGACATCCCCACAACCCTGATTGTGCAGCTGGCCTTGATCATTGGGATTTCTTCCAAGCACATGTTGAAGGGGAGAGTAGCCCAAATATTGATCTCTGGAGTTTTGAGCCCAGAGAGCCCTCTGAAAAAGTTCTTCTTCACTCATTTCCGGAAACTCCGAACTAATTTTGGTCATCATCTCCTTAGTCGTCCTAATTGCCCTTTCCACCACGGGCAGTTCCCAATGGGCTTCCGCAGGGATGTGATCACTCATAATTTTGCGTTTCAACATGTATTGATCCACCTGCTCACTACGAAAGGCTCCGGCAGGATCCATACGAATGGTAGCAGGGTTTCCAAACAAGGGTTTCCATTGTTCTTCAAAGAACTGAATGAAGTCAGAACCCGAAAGGCTAATCTTCTTTCCTTCTTTCAGGGACATCCCCTTTCTGAACCTACACCCTTCATCAATTCCCAGAATGAAATGGAACGGCCTTTTGGTTTCCGGATGGACCCACGTGGCTCCATCCACTTGGACCTTAGCCCATTTGGGTGGAATTTCCTCCAAACTCGATTGGTTTCGGGGACCAGGAATCCTATTCTCCTCACAACTGGGGCACCGAAACTGTCTAGCCAACTCCAACACCTCCTTCCCAGCGTTTCGACGACGGAGCGCACGAATCAAGTATTCTTGACTGCAGTGACCGGTGGCAGAGTGGATTCGTCGCAAGGCCTGAAAGGTTTAGTTCGTTGTTCCTGACTCATGACCCAACACTCAAAATCATGGTTTCTCGTTTTCTCCTCATTTCCGTTTTCATGGACCAAAATTCCATGATTCATGTCACCATTTCGTTGCCGGTGATCTTGAGTTCCAGGCGCTCTTGAATGTACTTCTGCAATTCGATCTTTTTCTTGGAAGCACGATTCATTTCCACCAAGAGTTGGTTCTGGATCTTCTGGCCAGGTGAGGTCTCGTCTTTCAGCTCCTGAAACCGCGTCTCGAGCTGAGTCCGAGTCCACTCGGCTGGAGGTTCCTCGCCCATCTCTTTGATGCGCTGTCTCAAGACCTCCTTGGTCATGGATGGCATGGCTACGGACAGGTGGACGGAAGTAGTCAGAAATCCTAGCTTGAGTACTCTGTTTGCCTGAGGTCATGAAACAACTCTCAACCGGATGGCCCCCTTGGTTCTTCCCTTGGTGGCTCTGCGGTGGTGGTGCAACCAGAGTTGGTTTTTCGTTTTCCTTCTCATGTTCAGGTTTCGGTCCGGAAGGTCGAGGGGAATGGTTTCCTATGGGATCGTCATACTTAGCATTACCCCGGTTGTAATCCAACATACTGTCAACCTGACCCTTGGACAATTGGGAATGGCATCGCTCTGTGCTAGTGTCGTGTACCCCCCAAGGCTCGCAGTGCGTTCCATTATGCCTCGGAGGGTCATGTCCCTATTCATGGTCGTCGATCAAGCCACCAAAAGGCTTTTCCCTTTGGCGGCTCTGACTGTACACATCAGCGGTGAGCGGAAAAACTTGATGGCCAGTGGATGTCGTCTCCAGCTTCAGCACCTTGTGTGGATCGACCCTTTTCAGCAACATGGTGTTTTGATCGTAATCAATCACTGCTCCCAGTGCCCGGAGCGAGGCAATGCTCAACAGGACTGGTTGATTGGGGATGTCGTGCACGTGTACACGCATCGTGCTCATACCTCCATGCAGAGGAACTGGCAGTTGGGCTGTAGAGAGGCACGTTGTTCTTCCATTGTTCCCGAACCGGAAACTGGGTCTTTCTTTGGGGTCGATCTGTATCTCTCTTTGGAGCCCTTGTCCTCTGTTAATGCTGTCAATCCTGGTCATTGCATCCACACTCCCCACAGTGCTTGTTGCGCCGGGATCAATGATGGCCTTCCCAGCTTCCAATAACGAGTTCATTGTCATTGCAGCTAGGGCTTCAAAATCCGCTGATGATTGCTCCGCAGCATCTGGCTCAATCTGGTCACCTGAAGAGGAGGCCGTGAACGTGAAGTGGACTGCTTGGCCAGTAGTGTTTTCGTTCTTTTTGGGACAGGTCTCAGTCTTGTGAGCACCTCCACAGCGGAAACACTTCCGCTCACTTTCTGACCTTTCTGTTCTCCACTTCGTGTAGGTCTCCTTCTTCATGGGGTAGAACTGTCGGCTTTTCCTCATCATTGATTGCTTCTCGCGGGCATCACGAAGGGTGCGTCTTGCCCCTTGGATGGCTGCTAGTGCTTCTTCTGTCTCATGGGTGAGGTAGTTGTACTCTTCAACTTCTGCCTCAGTCATCCATGTCGGTGCTGGCGGTGTCTCTTCTTCATGTAGAAAGGCATCGTCTTCTTCTTCTCCTAGCATCAATGCTGACCCTCGGACTTGGTCTCTTTTCCGGAGGTCTTCATCGGTCCAGTTCAGCTTCAATGCTTCCTTGACCCTTTCAGTCGTGAACTCATTCTTGAGGCTGGCAATGATGGTGGCCTTTTCTGAGCCATCCAGGCCTGACCTTTGAAGGAGCATCCAAGCCACGACGAAGTCCGGGAGGAATTTCCCTGCCTCCTCTGAGGCCCGGTCTGAGGTTTCAGCTTGGTAGACCATCTCCTTTGTCACACGAGGTTCGGTTTCCCATTTCTCCCATGAACCCCAGGTCCACTCATCATCATTGTTCCAATCGTGCCAGCCTGCATAGTCTCTCCATGGGTCTGGCTCATCCGGGTTCTGAGCGTGTAGATCATCTTCATCCCGCATCAATCCATTCGAATCGAATGGCCCCTGTTCCTGATGCTGGTCGGCATGTTGTGAGCCATGCTGACTGGATGTACTCTTGGATGGCCTTGGTTTGCTTGTGGAGGTCTTAATCAGTGAGGTCCTCCGACTGGAATATCCCTGTCCATATTCCTCGATGGCCTCGGCCAATGTCCTCCTTGCTTCAAAGAGAGACTCGTCATGGCGGACGATCCATGCATTCATGCATTCTCCTTTTCTTCTTTTCACCTGGTAGAAGAATCTCGAGATGGACTTTCCAGCTTCAGCCAACGTGGGAGGCTGTACCTTGGTTTTCAAGAAGGTGAGCAGTTCTTCAGCGCCCCGACTATGTGAAATCCACCCTGGTGACTTGTGTTGAACTGCGGTTCGCGCAGCCCCTTCTAACACTGATTGAAGTCTGGGTCCAGCGAGAGGTCTTTTCTTCCATTCCAGTGTCTCCACGTAGTTGAGAGCAGCTCTTTTGTAAGCAACAAAAAGTTCTGCTGTTCCATCGTAGATGGGAACCCCATCTTTGCTATAGCGAAGTTCGGTCATCACCACCCAGCACAAAGGATCTCCTCCTCAATGTCCTGGATCTATATCGGCCCGGCCCAATTCACGGAGGGGCCGGGCTCCGCTACCATGCGAAGCAACAAGGCGCAGCGACCCGCAAGGCTATTTTCAAAGCTAGGGTGGGGCGCTTGACCCCGTGAGTGTCGGCGACCGGACATGAACGTGGACCACATGATTGGAAAATCTGCATATATATATATAATATATTAATATGTTATATATATATATTATGAAAGGCCCATTCATCCAGCATCCAAACCCTGTGAGATCCTGTGAGCGGACCGTGTGTTGTCGAGACGTGGACTGTCCACCTTGGCAAGGCTCCGAGACAGGATCCGTGGGCGACGCCGTGAACTTCTAGAAGAGCGAAAGCGGCAAAGAGGTGAGGGTTGGAGAATTTGCAGCAAGATTACAATAGTGAAACATGATGAAACAGGTTCAGGTGGTTCATTGTGGGAGATGCAGGAGCTTTTGTTCATGAAATCATTTGGGCATAGGTATCAAAAAAATACTTATCGAATCAATAAAACAATATTTACCGAATCAAAAAAAATATTTACTGAATCAATAAAAAATATTCGTTGTGCGATGAAATCCCTTGGAATTCCCAGTCGTGTAGGTGGCCGGTCCGCTGGTCCCCTGGTCCTCTGGTCAGCTGGTCCTTTGGTCCGCTGGTCCTAGTCCGCTGGTCCCCTGCAGTCCGCTGGTCCACTGGTCCGCTAGTCCCTTGGTCCTCTGGTCCTTCGTCTTTCTTTCTTTCCTTCCTTCTTTCTTTCTTTCTTTCTTTCTTTCTTTCTTTCTTTCTTTTTCGCAGCTGTTCTCCTTTCTCTTTTTTGCCTTTGCTTTTCCTTTTGTTCGCTTGGCAGAGACGAAACCAAACAAGGAAGCAAGCAAGCAAGGAAGCAAGCAAGCAAGCAAGCACGAGCTGCTCACTTTTGGATCTAGTGTGCTGCCGGGGGGCGCGCTGCGCCCCCCCCCAACCCCCCCCCCCCCCCCCAAAATCTGCACTTCACCCCCGACGCCCGCGCCTGCCACGAAATCAATATTTTAAGGTGAGCTCCCCGGTGCAAAATTTTCTAACCAAGCAAATATGCCTCCTATCTCTCTCTCTCTCTCTCTATCTATCTATGTATCTATCGATCCATTTATCTTTCTATCTGTCTATCTGCAGTTCAACATCCACAAAGCACTTCAAGGTCCACAAAGTCTTGCCCTGCCACCAAATCTGCACTCCAAGGCCCACAAAGTCCTGCACCTGCCACCAACTCTACACTTCCACATCAAAAAGTCCTGCGCCTGCCACGAAATCTGCACTCCAAGGCCCACAAAGTCCTGCACCGGCCACCAACTCTGCACTTCAAGGTCCACAAAGTCATGCGCCTGCCACGAAATCTGCACTCCAAGGCCACAAAGCACTGCACCTGCCACGAAATCTGCACTTCAAGGTCCACAAAGTCCTGCGCCTGCCACAAAATCTGCACTCCAAGGGCCACAAAGTACTACACCTGCCACGAAATCTGCACTTCAAGGTCCACAAAAAGTCCTGCGCCTGCCACTGGCCACCAACTCTGCACTTCAACATCCACAAAGTCCTGCACCTGCCACGAAACACTACGACTACCACTACGATACTGCTGCTATTATAGTACTGTTGCTACTCTTACTGCTACTGCTATTTGGAATATTTTTTTAGAGTCAGTATTTATTTTTTTAATTGAAGCGTGTAGATTGTTTTATTATTGATACGTTAAATATTTGTTTTTGATCTCTCACCCTTCATTGGTGGGGTTCACCATGAGGCCAAGAATTGAGATTACCTGAAGGCAAAGTCTGGTTCGAGGCTGGTCTTGAGCTGGCTTTGTAGATCCCATTTGAGCTAATTTGGGTGTTGCATTTGTTCGATGTTTCTGCTTGTTCCGCGCAGGCAACGGCCGAATGGCAGGAAGTTCCACAGAACGCAATTTGTGCGGCCATGGTCCGAGGTTGAAATTTTGGCATTGGATGTCGGAAGGCATTCGCCATCCTTTCTGGTTTTAGGCTGGATTGGAGTACCGCTTTGACATGCAGACTGGAAGGAGACAGCAGTGGCCATCAGTCTCGAATGATTCCAAAGCTTGCCTTGTATCATATTGTATCATTTCATACCTCTGGATTTGGCGGTGACGCCTGTTCCAGTTACCCAAAATAGGTGCTTGGCATGTGAAAGATAAGCGGCGTTGTGATGCTGTGATGCTGCAGGAACTTTGCGCGCTTGTCACTCTGACGTAGGTCCAGCCGTGCAGACTTGGGCCGAAAGTCAGGCATCACATTTTCCGCTCGCCTGAAGCAAAGTCCACTAGCACAAATCATTGCAAGTCGAAAGGGCCGCATCCTAGCCTCTAGCAGTTTCTTCTTTTCATTTATATCAGCCAACATGAAATCTGCATTGCCCCCAAGGCTTTCTCGGAGGCGCTGCTGCGCCGCTTACATTCCGAGCTCATAATTTAGGCGGCTGTTGGATCCTGTGACCATGTTCAACCCAAGCCTTTGAAACAATAAGCTATTAGAAACAAGTGCATCGCTACTAGTAACAAGTGCCTTACTAGTAGTAACAATGTTTGCTATTGGAAACAATATGGCTAGAGCTGCTCAGACTTGAAACAAGTACTGCGGAGTTGCGGTGACAAATTCGTAACTCATGCTCGGGCTGATACACCTTCGTGCCACTCACGGTAATTGTGGAATCGTGTTATACAGCAAGGCATGGACAGTCCTTGAAGACATTCAGCTTAGACATGAATCATTGCCATGGCAAATGGTCGATGGGCAGCTGTGCAGGGAGCTCAGCCATCAGACTACTTGACTACTTCATCATCAAATCCAATAAATAAGTTGGTTTTGAATTGTTTGAACACTTCTCTCCACGATCCATCATTCATGAACCCGCCTGCCCCCGCCATCGCTTGGATTCTGTTTTTGGTGCCTCGCATGCGGGTGCCAAGGTGTGGATGTGAAGCATTCAAGAACTCCAGCGTGACTTGGCGACTTGTTGCTATGATTTGTCAGGAGCAAGGACGCTACTAGGGGCTCCTGGCCTTACTACTAGGAACAAGGACGCTACTAGGAGCAAAGGGCATCGCTACTCGGAGCAAATCAGCTTTGATTTGTCATCAAATGTTCCAGGGACATGCCCTCAGTCCTTTGACAGATGCCTTGCAGCGTCCCAGCCTTGGCTCACACTTGGGACTGGACTAGTAGCGTCCGATCACTCTGTTCGTAGCGATGCCCTTAGCCCCTAGTAGCGTTCTTGCTCCTAGCCTAGTAGTAAGGCCAGGAGCCCCTAGTAATTAGAGTCCTTGCTCCTAGTCCTCAAGATGTCAGATGTGTTTGCGATATGTTGCGATTAAGTGAAACGTCTGGGCGCTTGCCTCGTCGCTCATCCTTGGGAGGCCTTGCGGACGTAGGGCGATGTTGGGATCTAGCGCGGAAGATCCCGCGCAATCCTCGGATTCGGTCTAGTACAGTGTAGCAGGCTGGATCGTCATTATCAACCTCGAAAAGGAAGCAAGTCATCATCAATCAGTCCAGGAATGTTTTTCCATATCGTTGGGTATTTCAAGCATGTCATGGTGTCCTTGCATTGCGGGCAGAGGCGCTTTGTGTGCTGCTTTGTAGGTGTCAAGAACCCACAGCAACAATCAAGTTCGACAATCCAAACCAAGACCCTCAAGTGTTGCGCTAGATTGCTGATTTAGAAACTAGTAGTATGCATTTCTATCGGAACGTGTGCACAGAGTGGGCCTCAAGCTTTGCTTCTCACGTGCTGTTCACCTTGAGGCCGGAGCTCTATGCTGCAGCCCATGTGGTCTTTCAGGCAGGGTGCCAGCAAAAATCACTATCACATCACAACATATCACAACTTGTACACAAGCTGTGCGGAGCAAAATCAGGTGCTCACCCCGCTTCCTGCCAGCAGTTTCAACTTGTCTTCCACTTCTACTTTAGTCTCGTTCATGTTTAACCCTCGGCCGTTAGCAATCAAACTCGGTTGTCTTGATACTCATGACTCATCACATCTCATCACTGGTTACACCACCTCAGCCAGCCACTGAGTTCTTCCTTCCCTCTTTCCCTCCTTCCCTTCGAAGAAATCCCTCAATTCCTTTGGCTTGTCCCCTCTGTTCCTCCTTCCCTCACTCAACTCATTCACTCATTCACATTCACTCATGCACTCAATCACTCATGCAGCACATGCATTCATTCATTGGTTCATGCATATCTCGCTCACCTTCACTTCTGTCCGTGAGCGTGCTTTTTGTGCGAAGTGAGGCCGCTGGGTGTTCAGGAATAAGGGCACTTGAGAAACGCCCTTCTATGCCCGTGCTAGCTTTCGTTCACCTGACTATGCGTAGCCGTGGAATATACTTGATTCAGATAGTCAAGAGCTTGCAGCATGTGGCGTCACTTGCTCCTGCGAGGCCTTTCAAGCTGAAGCATCGCAGGGCAAGGACCAGAAGGGCTAAAGAATTGTTGTTGCATGTTTGTGCCTTGTCAGCCTTGAGTCCTTTGTTTCAGCACAATATGTTTTCCTAGCTTATGCAGGTCAGACAGACTATGAAATGGTTTGGGAGTGGAAAGTAGTCCTTACAAGGATCCAAACATCGCCGCCACCAGATGTGCTCCTGGAGCATTCACTGCAATGCTAGTCATCGCCCCAAGACACGCAATAGACGTGGAACCGCGATGAACCCCATGTGCGAAGATGGTTCCGACTAGTTATGGCATGTTATGGCTGCGTTGGAAAACAAACGACAATGGTGGACAATGACAATGCACGCCACTGGTTTTTTGCAAGATCGCTAAATGACTAAATGACTCAAGTCCAAGTAGAATACCGAACGAGATGTCAGGGAGAATCTAGACTTCTCGCGCAATATCTACCCTTCTCCTTGTGGCGAGGTTCTACTGCTTTTGCACGAAGCTCAGTAAGGTGTTGTTGGGACAAGGTACAGATCGGATTGAATTTTGAGCATGTCCAAGGATTTGATCAAACATGTTTGGTCAAACATGTTCAAATTGCTCGTCAATCCTTGGTATACGAAGAATTCTTTGCTCAGGGAGGCTCTCAGGATGCTATTTTCTCATATATAGTATGTTCTCAGTTTTGCAAGGATGGCCCGAATGAGGTGGGAAGCTCATGATGCCCCAGATGAGCTTGTTGACACAGCTCCTCAGCGGAGAGAGTCGTCGAGTTTTTGCTGTGAGGAGGCCCCTCCAACATGTGTCCAGAGTTAGGCTCCTGGAAACTCTCTCAGAGAGCAAAACACAGGCCTCAAGTGAGGTGGGGAAGTTTCACTGGGTGAGGATGCGCATAATGCTGTTGATTTCCGCTGTGCCAGACCAGAGGCATGTTCTTGTTGGTGGCTTATGCTTGCTTGAAGGAAAGCATCGATGGCAAACACTCGGGCTGTGGGGAATTCACTTTTGTTCGCCAGAACATAATATGTTTATCATGCCCACAAAATGTTTGCTAGCATAATGCATTTGTCGGAAGAAAGGGGGTTTGCTTTTGAGATCCTCACATTTTTGTGTGCACTCCGTGAGCCTCTAGGAAACAGGTGCGCAGTCACAAGGGAATGCTGTGTGTGCATATGAAGGTCATTGTAGCCTAGAGTCTAGAGGAAAGAAGCATAAAGCCCAGGCTTGGGTTCATTAGTCAATATGTCAAACAAATGCGTGTCAAGAAGAGAAAATCGGCCGATAGCATGACGGTACTCTAGGATTCTTCATAGTTTGAGGATGCTGTCCACGTTTTTGATGGCAAGCCTACTCAAGATTGATCAATTTGCCTGGCAAATTGATTATAAATGGGTTGGGAGTGGTGGTGCCAATGTCGTTGGCACTGGCTGCATCCAACATTCTACGGCATTGCAATGCCGCATGGTGCGAATTTGCCAAGAACCTTCAGGAGAGAAGGGCTTGTTGTGAGCTGTACAAGTTAGGAGATTTGGTGCAAGATTGTGTTTTGGATCAATAAAGTATGTAATATGTGCAAGATATGCAAGGTTGGTGAAATCTAGATGGATCAATCTGGATTAATCTTGGTGTTCAGAATAGCAGCAGGACCTTTTACACACCACCACACCAGGTACGATAGGCAGTTTTTGTGTTAAATGTTGGTCTTTGTATTGCTTAGTTTGTTTTAATCTCCTTGCCTGAGCTTCACAGCATTCATATCGTGAAGTCACGCCTGAAACTGAAACCAAGCCTCTGTGTTCAGGAGCTGTGTCAATCGGGCTGCAGAGGCCGTAGAGCATGCAAGAAGCGTACTCCAAGGAGCAGGGTGACATGCAGCTTGGGTATTTTTGGTGCCACAGTTTGAAGCATTTTTGGTGCAGCGCAGGCTGCCTCCCTTCCGATGGCCTGGGGTACCACCAACCAGCAGCCGCCTTTCGAAAAGCTCCAGAGGACTGCATCAGCCTGTGCGCCGTCGTTTGTGATGCTCCATATGCAGCCCATGGAGCTGGTGGAAATCCAACGGAGTGTGCTAGCAACTATTGTTAGTTCGGGCGTTTGAGTAAAGGGAAGCTGTGGAGCAATGCGTTGGTGTTCACGGCCATTGAGGATCGTTTAGCAGACAGTTGGCTAGTGGTGGCGTTTCGTGGGACTCTGCTCGCGGAATTGGGGCGTGATGTTGTTTACAAATATTTGAAGATTTTCTTGACAGGGCTGCAGTTCTCTTCACCGAGCACCTTGGTCGAAGATCTTCAAAGATGCTCCTGTTCACTGCAGTCACTGGCCATTCGCTTGGCGGCAACGTTGCAGAATGTGTGTCCTTCCGCTTGACAATGCCTGAGGGCTTCTCAGCCATCCTCTTTAACCCAAGAGGTAAGTTGTCCGGCCTGAGAGACACTGCGCAAAATGTCAAGGACCTGGCTCTCTCCTGGCTTGGTCGCTTCCGGCTTGGCTCTTGGTATCTCTTGGTATTAGTGGTGCAGGTTCTCCTGGCCTTGGCGGATGACTCCTTGTGCTGGAGCTCTTGCAGACGGTATTGTGAGTCAAGCATAGCGGGCAGGGAATGACAGGATTGACGGGCACAATATGAAGATCCTCAAGGTTGAGCGTGACTTTATCTCCAAGGATTATCATGGTCGGAGACTAACAACGACGCAGCCAAAACTTCCGCACACTTCAAGTTCAAGTCCTCATTCCGTTGCAAATTTCTTGCCGCAAGCCGACGGTCCAGAACAATGGCTTGATGACTTTGTGTTGTGTAGCAGCCGAAAGCCTTTCTCATCCATTGATGAAAACCCTATATCAGTCAAGCCGGCGCTGTACCACGGCTTTATGATATTACGCACAGCCTGTGAATGTAATCAGAATCAGGGCTAACCACCTTGGGTACCATTGGGTACGTGTTGAGGCAACTGACGCGTTTTCAACCACGGTGACCCGATCATAGATAAATTAAAAGATATTAAAAGCACATGGGAGCACAATCACACCACCAGAGTGAGATGATGAATTCGCACGCCCTTCACATTATGGTGGTGCACAAATGCTTGTTGCGCCAACCGCAAGATGCTTTGCGCTTCGCGAAGCCGGCGGCTTGAAAGGCACTGCAGAGAGATGTACGCAGTGCCTTTGGACCTGCGCAGAAGCTGAGCAGTATACAACCGCTGCTCTTCGTAAATACTTGTCCTTGGAGAGATGGGACTCCGCGGCCCTCATCTGAATCAGAGGTATGGCACATGCGATCTGAACAGAATCCGATCTGGCCGAGGATGCAAATGCTCATGGCAGTGGCCATACGCTCTTACTTAAGCCAAGCTTCTGCTCGTCGCGGCGCTGCGCCATGAAGGCACAGCAGTGGGCAACCCCTTGCAGTTGCTCTTGAGGTTTTGCACCAAAAACGAATCTATATACATCGCTTCAGGATTGCTGGGACATCAAGTCTCGCCTCTTTTTCTTCTCCGAACTTCTTCGAAGGAATAGAGAGATCGCCCAAAGATGTCAAGAAGGCTTTGCGGTTATTGTTGCCAGATTGTTGCTTTCTTGGCGGATTTTAAAGGAGGGAGCAAAGTCTTCGATTTCTGGGCTCATTTGATCTGCCGGCTTGCCGTTGCGATTCCTGCCGCCTTTTCAATCTGCGGGGGCAGAAATATCGACTGTGCACTCCAAAAGCTGTCTTCACACACCAAACACGAGGTCACAATGCTGCAGTGAAGGATCCAATTCTTTTAACTGGTAAGGCATGTGCGCGCCAGTCGTTGCGACATGGTACTTGGCCAACTTTATTGCCAGGTTGCAAGCATGTGGAGGACAACAATTCTACTTTGCAGATGTTCTGAATCCGAGCGAAAATGAACTGCGTGCAAAGCTCTCAGCGAAGTTGCCTTAGTTAGACGTTCCGCCTGTGCACTGAGAGCAGCGAGTTATACAAGGGTCGTCTGACAATCGTTATTGTCCACAAATTCCTTCGAGTATTGCGAATGCCAATGATGGCGGTACGCAATGCCAGAACTGCTGCAGGCCGACTGAACCACAACACTATGCGGGCCAAATTCTTTTGAATATAAGATACATAATAGAAGTCTGTTCCTTTCTCGCCCTGCCTTGAACGTCCGTTTTTGCCAACAACCATCAAACGATGTTGCTTCGGCATTTTTTAGGCGAGCCAACACACAGACCATCAGGGACTCTATGGGACACTCGACTCTGCCGACTCCGCCCCAAGGCTCTTGATATTATCCTCCCAATTGAGCAGACCATTGTGGCTCCTGCTATGACAGCGCTGGGCACAGCCGGAGTCCTGGACCTCGGGTCAGCCATTCGCATCATATGGGTCGTTTCCAGAAAAATCAGAAAACTTGCAAAGCAAGCAAAAAGAGGGATGATTGTTTCCGCACGTTTGGGTTGGTCCAGATGAGATACTTTGAGATGTTCGGAAAATGTTTGGAATGGCATGTGCTGCTCAAACTTCCAACTAGGCTTTCAGTTTTGATTAATGTTGGTTCTATGTAGTGAATAACATGCAAATATTCCAAATCATACACTGAAGTTCAGATGGGTCAATCTCTTACACTCGCGCTATTCATGTGCTGACTGGGGTGCTTGCATTTTGAAGGCGCATGGGAACTGAACTGATGATTAGAATCAGTCATCACAACGCACTGTCGATCTGATGTTGCAGGACTGCAATAGATTTGGCAACATCCAAGACGGGTGGTGGCCAGGAGTTGCGCAGCCTCGCTTAGGGTTGAAAGCTTTTTCAGGGTGCAGATCGAGGCATGGGTTCAGGCATTTGTTGAAAATTATTGGTGAGAACCATGTGGACAATTTTGCCGCGTTTGTAAAGTGAACAGACACCGAGCACGCGCCGCATGCACCGGCATACACATACACCCTTGGGCCCTTCGACATACTCTGGCCCTTTCTGAAGTATGAGAAGCATGCATGTCAATGGATGTGAGCCACGGTCAAAACATGCGAAGACCACTTTAGTAAAGAGGGTAGGTTTGTGCACAAAACCCTGCAAAACGACAAGGTCCAACTCAAAACCGATGACGTCCATTTTTTAGTTGAAGAAGAATAAGGAGTTTTGACCGTCCCTCATGTGCACGTGCATTGGGTGTATTTGGAAGCCCCCCAGTCATCCTCGTCTCTCCTTGGCATGTGCTTTTCATCGCTCTTATGTTGGAGACCATTGCTAGTAGTTTTTCATCTCCGCGTTCGTGGCAGGTTTTGGACCTCCGGTGGCTCCGGCGCCTGACGAGTCGCTTGTCACGGCACCTCGTCTCCGAAGCGCGGACGACACGGTGCGATGCCCTGCGCATGCCCTCTGGATGCCCTCCAGTGGTGTTTCAGGTTTCATTGTTTCATTGGTTTCGGAATCTGGTGGGGCATCGTGGGGCTCATCTTTCGAGGCATTACTACTAAGTTACTACTAGTAGCAAGAAGCTAGCAGTAACAAGGGCTCATTACGGCTCATTCGTTCCTTTTTAAATGTGTGGTACAGTACATTGAATTGGAAGCTCGTTGGGAGCGAAGACTGACGGTGCAACTGGTAGTCATACGTGGGTGGTCACAGGAAGCGAGCAGCCTGGCAGCTTTTGGCTGGGAGCTCAGCGGGTTTCGAGGGTCCACGCTGAATCGAGCACTTTTCATGCACCGGATACTGCTTTGATGTGCATTGAAAGAACCCAGCTGGTCAAGGCTGAAACTGGCCAAGAGCCCTGGCATGAAAGAGAGGCCTATGTGTTAGATGTTGCACGTCGAGGGCCATACACATATCATATAACATTATATTAGTCATTGTAGAATATTGTACTTACAGTATATACAATGAAATATAACTATCTTCAAGCATTCAGTATATCATCTGTGCGTTGCGTAACTGTCCAATTCAAATATATATATATATATATAGAGGGATGGAAAGCCAGCCGCCAGCTCCGCTGGCAAGTTCATCACAAATCTCAAGTTATGAAGGGCGCTCTACAAATTGTTTTTTGGGGGCTTGCACGGCAGGTGGCAGAGCAAAGATTCTTTGCCGAGGCACAAACCACGGGTTGTCGCGGTCTGGAGAGACTGTGAGGACTGTAGAGAGGTGACAGTATTTATATAGGTGCTTGCTACGGACATGCAGAGCAATCCAAACGCGGTTGAGAGATTTGATGCGTTTGTGAAATTTGTTCGTCGCCCAGCTGTGCATCCTGTGAGGCTGAGTTCAACTTGGACAGGCAAGACAACTGCTGGCTAGTGCATTTGATTGGAGCCCTTCCGCCCAGTCATTGGTGCTTGAAACTGTTGGTGGGCATGTAGGCTTTGCTGGTTTTGCCGCGGATCAAATTTGGAGACACGTTGAAGCCATGCATTTTACTGATGCCAGGCCGAGCCTTTGTCTGTGTATTTTACATGGGGAGGGTGCAGCAACACTTCGTGAGACTTTGGAGCAACTTGGCAACAAGATGCTACAATTTAGGTGTACTTAGTGTACTTTTCCTGGAAGCTTGCTTACATGAACACTTTCCTCTCTAGCTTAACTTGGCGTGCTGTTCGAACGATTCTTGTAAGATCTTGTAAGTGTTTGGTGACTTGGGTTTATCTTGTCTCTCATGTCATGTCAAATACCTTCTGGATTTACTGGTTGTGTGCAAGCTGGTGGCTTGCCGTGTGTTTCTTGCTTTTCTCCACCCACCCTCCGCTGTGGCTTTGTGGGGTTTGGGTATCCTTGGCTTTTGCGGGGCTACCTGGGGTTCCTTTGCCTGTGAACCTCCCTGGATATTGCTTTGCCATCCAGGTTTTGCCCAGGCAATTGCAATGGGAGGATAAAGCTTGTGGAGCCCATGTGCTTTTTGCCGTTGGAGCTGGAAAGGTGGGGTTGCTGAATGTTGCTGCTGCCCAGCAACTGTATTGATCAAACCCATTGGAAAAGGTGCATCTATGCTGCTTGCTGGACTTTCTAGTTGAGTTTGTAGAGTTTACACTGTACAGACATTTACAAACGTCGGCGAAAGACCAAGAGAGGCAAACAAAAAATGCCACGTGCATGCATTTGGCAACACTTGGATGGGGGGTGTTCCATGGCCTCAGGTCTTACAAGGACGGCGGGCTGCACGGTCCTTGAAAAGCCTTGAAACGACATCGTAAAGTCTGTTGTAGCCCGCTCCTACAGATTAGGTAGGTGCCTACTTAATTGAGTAAGGGAGTAAGCACGCACTAGCAATACTTAAGCTTCTAGTAACTGGACACAGGATAGCTCACACTTCTAGGAAGCTGAGCTTCGTTGAAGAAGCGCTCGCACTAATGCTTTGGTTTCTTGATTTTTAGGTAAACTGTAAGGATGTTGAGACATGTAAGGCTGGAAATGGCGCGACGACGATTCGTCGTCTTCTTGAAATCACTCCAAGAGGACGTCTTGGACCAGGTGTGACCCCCTTTCTATCCTCTACATGCCCAAGTCAATAACCGACTTCACAGGAATGTTGGTTCATGCTCGAGGTGGACAAATCTTGCCTTCAAGTTTATCCAAGCTGTTGGTGTCAGCTTCTGTGTGTGGATGGATTGGTATACGGCCGATCAAGATGTATTGATTGACTCTTGAATTCTTGCAGCTACTAGATCTGTGATGAGCCAAAACATTGAATTCGTCTGGAAAACCGCTGCGACAGGCAGTGCATTGTTGGCGTCAAGAGGCGAAAGTCTCAGAGATGGCTGCTTGTATCTTGATGTATCTTGTGGCCAGTGGTGTGAATTAAGGCTGTGGCAGTGCAAGGGTGCAGTGTCTCAAAGCTGTTGTTGCAAAGACCTTTCCAAGAAACAGCGAAGGTCATTACGTACTTTAGTGAACGTAGGCGTGCTACCAGCCGCCAAGTCATCATGCGAACTGTGTCCACGCGCGTTGTGTCCACCTGTCTTTCGAGAAGGATGCTGTAGGAATTTGCATGATGTGCTTTTGCCGCTGACATGGACGCCTTGGTTGTGAGGTGGCGAAACTGTATGATTTGGAGCCTATTGTGCCAGTAAAAGATTGGCCAGACCCTTTCATCAGGCCTTTGCCACTGATTGTCTTGGGTTCCTGGGCTGTGTTGAGATATTGTGCACGGAAAGCAGTCACCGAGACTTGTGCCAGGAAACACCAGAGACACGGAAATCCAGGCTGCGGACTGTGGAGAGGGGGGCAATGCTCACGATTGTGGCAACACTGCAGACCATTGCAGTGAGTTTAGAGTGGAAGTGTTCCAGAGCTAGTAGGTTGGAGGCCATCGCTAGTTTAGACCAGAAGTACCGTTGTTCACATCATCAGATGTTCCAGAGCTTCCCAAGGCAGAAATCAGTGGGTCCCAAGTCTCAAGAAGAAAGCGCTCACAATTCTTTGTTTAGGAGGGAACTTATGCCCTATGCTTTGAGCCATGGGTGTAGGAGGAAACTTACGTTCTGGTCGGAGACTGTCAGCATAAATGTGCAAATTGGTGGTGAAGTCTGCAAGTGTAATGGTTCACTGCGGCCAGGTGCTGCCATGGCAGCTTGTGCCAGCACTTGTGATCAGGAGAGGAGAGAAACCATGAGAAATTAGGTTCGTCCCAAAGTGATGTTTACCTTGCTTTTTGCGTGCTGAAAGGCTTGCGCACCTCAATTCATGTTGTTGCTGTGGGAATTATGCATGTCCAGGAGTATTTGCTTTTTTTGGAGGATGACTTCCAGCTTGTGACGAGGCCGCAGCAACAAGTTCCAGAACCTAGGCCTTCCCACAACTCAACAATGCCCCATCAGCGAATGCATGATTGAGCAGGCATGCGGCATTTGTGCACGGCAAACAACGCGACGACAAGGGCCATGCTTGGAAAGTATTGAATGGCCACAGAAGACCAAGCTGGTCTGCAAAGGAACCTTCTAAAACCAACCAAACTATCAATGTGTCTCTCCCGCAGTTTGTGCTCAGATATATATTTGTCACCTGTAAGACTAGCAAACCTAGCAATGACGATACAACCAGCAGCGTTGTCCCTGTGGGAGCGACGGTCATTTAGACTCGGGCAAAAGGCCAAGCTGAGAGTTTCAACAGAAGTTGATGTACTCCAAGGTGGCCTGGTGAGTTATCCTTTGGACACATTTTTTGAGCTTTAGTGTGTTGCTGTGAATCTATATGTAGTATGAGTGATTTGTCCTTCTTTAATCAGAGTGTGAGCCTGTTCAGGTCCTTTGTCAGGCGACAGGGTCAAAGAGGCCTATGACTTCGAACAGATCCTTGGGAAAGGATCTGTTGGAGTCGTCTACAAGGCCAGAAGGCGAGTGGATGACCGCAAGGTAGTTGTGAAGGTTCGGAACGTCATCGACAAGGAAACAGCCGAGTCGTGTCGTCAAGAGTTCCAAGTCCTGAAGCGACTTTCGCATCCTCACATCATCAAAGTGGTTGACTTCCTGGAGGCGGTCGGTGAGGTAGCACTCATCTTTGACTACTGCTGTGAAGGCACGCTGCAAAGCGTCGTGAAGAAAGCACACCCGGAAGGCTTGCCATCAATCGCCATGAAGCCCTTGAGTCGAATGCTGTGCGAAGCAGTCGACTACCTGCACAGCTGTCGCATCATACATCGGGATATAAAGCCTGAAAACATTTTGCTATCAGACACTTTGACAGGCCCGGCTCGGCCTGTACAAACCATCACATTACATGTTCTTGTTGCTGTAAAATCTGTACGTTTTTTTCCTAAATATATATATATATAAATATCTAGGAACCAAATCATTAGTGCGAGTGCTTCTTCAAGGAAGCTTCGAAGAAGCGTGAGCTATCCTTCGTCCATATGTAGTAGCAAACCCTGTACCTAGAAGCGTCCACTTGTTAGCTACCTTAGCTACCTCGCTACCTCACCTCCTCACCTCTACCTAGCGGTACTAGCGGCCTACCCCCAAAAATAGAACAATAAGAAAAATATAATATATGTGTTTCCTCGGTACATGTTGTTCGTTCCAAGACAATGCTCCAGGCTTGTGGCTGGCAGACTTCAACACTGCTTGTCAATTGACGGATGGATGGGCCTTGACAATGACTGGTACCATGGATTACTCGGCACCCGAAGTTCTTGAAGACTCGTCACCTTCAGAGACCCTTGGACTGAACCACCTCCGAACGTTTTCTATTGCTTCGAAGAACAAAAAATTAGAGAAAAGAGGTGCAGTCCTTCGTCCAGGGGCCGACAGACCTTTTTCCCTAATTTAAGAAAGGGATTCTGAAAGATTCTTCCTCCAGAAAACTACCACAAGATGTTGTTGGACTGGTGACCGGTGCGCTGAATGTGACTGGACAACTTGCCAAGTTCCCAGAGACTGAATCATTGAGAAGCCACTCAATGCTGAATCACCTGGTTTCCGAAGCTAGTCATGCTAGTACAAATGACCAGTGACCAGTCAGAATTTCTTTTCACAATCGTTCGTGTACTGCTGTTGGAATAGAGTCGAGATGCTGCACATCAGAGCTGACGTGGGTTTGTTTGTGCTTTGTTGTTTGCTGACATGCAGAGTCGCAGGGGCAGATACGAAGTGTTCTAGCGATTTATAATTGGAAAGGCGTGTTGTGTTGCTTTCTGGACTTGCACAGGTATGCTTTTCAGCTTGGCAGGACACGCTAATAATGTATGAATCCCATGAGCCATGAGTCCTCCCAATTTTGTGATTTGGTGTCTTTATACGACTATGGTCGCTATGGTGTTTCTCCATGTTTCTTCAGGAAGTCCGACATTTGGAGCCTCGGCCTTTGCCTGTACTTCATGGCCTCAGGAAGATTGCCTCGCAGATTTGGAGACTACGAAGACCTCAAAGGCTTTGCCAAAGCTGTGAGGTCAAATCCGGTGACGTGCCATGGCCCATCCTGGGACACTGTGGACGACCAAGCCCAGGATATGATCCGACAATGCTTGGCAATTGAGAAATCTCTCCGACCAGCAGCCATGCTCCTCCTGAAATCCTCATGGTTTCGAGATGTTACGAGCCCTTCGTGTCTTGGCAACAGGGGAGAAAGCGAAGTTGAAAGGAAGGTGAGTTAGTGGGAAGTGCCGCCATAGACTCAAACTCAAGACAACGCAGTAAACCTGGTAGCCAGCTGCTCCAGTGTAGCCAAGCGACTTACAGTAAGTTTGTCAATGGAAGACGCACAGTCGCGCGTTATCACGTCAAGCCTGCAGGAAAGTGCCGGAGTATCCGTTGCATGTGATATATACATATACATACATATACGTACAATGGTGCAATGTGTTCGTGTATGTTGATGTGTTTTTTAATGTTCTCATTATGAATAGGTACATTCGTGATGCGTTTATCAGTTACGACGTGTCCAGACCTTGCAGGAGTGGAGGGTATGATGATCCTGGCGAATCTTTGGTTTGTCGTGTCCTTTCAATTTGAGCAGATCCATCCCAAGAGGAAGGAATGAAAGTGATTCTGGAGAATCGCTAAGAGGATCTGAAGGGGTGCCCAGCTTGAGGAGCCATAGCCCGATTTATGGATAGCAGTGTTGGTTGTCATTTGGCACAAGATGTCATCAAATCGATTCTTTAGAATCTTCAGACTGCTCACGACACTCGCAAGTGCACTCCTGTAGTCCTTCACAAAGCTATACTCACAGAACCTCAAAATGAAATCTTCCTGAGCGCAAAAGCCAAAGAGCCGTCATTCTTTTACGTATGAAAGTGAACAGTGGTTCCTCAGGCGAGGGGTCGCAAAGTAGTGCATAGTTCTCTTGAACACGCAGCTTGGAGAAGTCCGCGTGTGCAGTACGTTACTACTAGTACAATCATTCTCTCTTTGCGCTCGCACCTCTCAAAGTTGAACTTTGGAGGGAGCGTTTCTTTTGATGGGGCATTGCTTCGCGCGATGCTGTCATAAACCATCCCAATTGCTCACTTGGAACAGTTTCTCAGCTGTGCGCTGGCCTCTGTTTTTCCCTCAAGTGTGCATTCCGGGTTCTTCATGCATTGCTTCCTGTGGCAGCAAATTTGTGGTCTAAATCCACCAGGCAAACCTGGAACCTGTGGCGGCGCCCTGCTTAGGGGATTCTCTTTCAAAAGCTACAATTAAAGCTATATAAATCAAGGCACTTGTGTTTCGCGTATTTGAGCCGTCCTGCCATCGGCTTTGACCCATGCCTTTCAATTCTCATAGAGCTTGGCCGTCAGAGCGCTGGAGACACCAGGAATCAAGCTGTTGCGCTGGAGTCACGTCCAAGAGTCATGTGTGTTAATGTCGAAGCAATCAACGAAGTTTCACATCGAAGTCCCCATGCGATGTCAGTGGCTCCTGGAGATCCCCTCTGGTTGCGGCAGAGCATCGAAGTGGGATTTGACTGTCCAAATCCTACTATATAAGTGTGGGTCAAAACCCACCATGAACAAACGAAGATCAACAGAATGGGCAAGAATAGTCTAATACCTACCATGGTCTTGAGTAAAAGCAATTTTGACCCACACCCGCACCCACACACCCGATGGGTGTAAGCAGTTCATTCGGGGACTGCATCTTTTGCGGCTTGCTGATGCGGCTTGTGCACAGCTGAAGTGGTTCCTCGCCCTGTGCTGCGGAAACCCTTTTTTCTAGCCTGTTCTCTGCTTTGAATCAAAGCACCAACTCGTAGACGCGGACGAGAATCTGAAAAATGATGAACAATGCATTGCTGATCACTTGAATAGCTGACGCACCTCTAAATTAAATTAGAGAACGATATGTCGTCTACTTGCCTGTCCCTATGTGGCATAAGCTGTACCTGTTCGCATGAACACTACCTCCAGGTAGTTTGGTGTCCAAGTGCCAACACTGGCGATATGCTAAGAGCTTGCCGCCAGGCCAGCAGAACTGGTCCAACACCGCTTCAAGGCTTTGTCTAGCACCTTGTGTGTTTCAGTAAGTGTTTGGCCTGTCAGTACAGGTCCAAGTTGTATGCTGGCCAAGCATGTTTAATGTGTTTGGGATCAATGACATAGGTTGAGGTTGAGCAGCATGATGTTTTGATATGCGTTCATGCGGCTCCAGCGAATGATGCTTGTGCATTGTAAGAAAGAAAGGCTCCAGGTGAAGCACCTATAAGCCTGTTTGTTTGGCAACCACCTTTTTCCGCCTTTCTTCACCTGAATTTCAATAGTTGTCCAATGGAGTCTTCCTTTACTACGTGTCACTGTACTGGTGAATGAGGCGACATATGCAGCTCAGCTGAATAAGCACGTTGTGTCAATCCCAAGCATTTGCCACTGTTGGTTCTAGAACCGAGTCTGGAAAGCTTGGAATTGTGTGCGGAAGCAGCATTGAAAAACACCCAAGTGCTGGCTTCTTTCGAAAAGTGAAGCCGGGTGATGTCCAATATCACAAATCCAGGCAGGCTCCAGCCTCTTCTGCACTTGTCCTGGCAAGACTTGGCTGAAGCTGCAGGCTGCATTCCACATGCTGAATGAGACTGCAAATGAGGCAACTCGAACCGGAGCACCGTGTTAGGTCAAGGGTATCCAACAGTATGGAGCAGGCAAGGAGAAGGTTTTGAGGCCCTTTGCATAATTCATTTGAATTCATTTGATTCGTGCAAAGAGGGAAACGTAGCACTTGAAGTGCTTTGGCCAAACCAGCTGCATTCTGTTTCCAATGGTTAAGTGTTGCCAAAAGGATCCAAAAGGGCTGAACATCCAAGTCTGTTGTGCCCGCTCAATGCAAGGCGATGAAGATCTTTGGCGTGCGCAAACCTCAGAGCGGGGACAGCACCGCAGCAAACTTTTGGAAAGAAGTGTACGGGAACCTAAGGTGTGAGGCCACTACTGACTAGTTTTACCAGTTGTTTCACAATATATATATATATATATAGTATGATCGAGTCAACAAAGGAGGCTCATAGACTTAGCCGAACAGCCATCCAGCAGTTTTTGTGGAACTCAGCTGTATGGGCGCGTGGGGACTGTGACTTTTTCAAGACATGGTCTTGCTCAGATTCAAGCCACAAGTAAAGAACAAGCACCGAAATATGCTTCGGAACTAAAGTTTGTTAAAGATCAATCGGTGTGACATACTCCGTATTTTGTGGGTTTTGCTTGGATCACTGAGCTGTGCACCTGCACCAGCTGCTTTGTCGGGATAGTCGCCATGTAGCAGTCGCTTTTCAATCTTTTGGATATGCCTGCCACGAACCACATCAAGGAAGATTGGCACCCTAGTGTGCCCTTCAGAATCGAGGCATTTGAGACACAAACTATTCTTCGGGCCACCCTTCTATGTGTGGAGCCGAGAAACGGGGGAATGAGAGGGAGGTTTCCTTGTGAAGGAACATTACTTTTGGAGCAAGTCAAAGCAAGTCAAGACCTCGGCAAGGAGCAAGGGAAAGGAAGAAAAAGCAAGGCATACATAAGCGTCTATGAGTTGCATGTGGAAGCCTGATCAGTGCTTGTATGGTAGATGCTTGGACAAAAGTCACAAAAACAAAGTTTCATATGAGGTTGCCTCAGAGCCTGTGTATTTATTTGATTCCATATACAAGATAAAAATATGTAATTTAAGTTAAATTACTGTCATGATGCTTGTACCATGCAGAGGGAAACCCATGCCGACTGCTTCGCCGGAGAATAGATGTTTGCAGTTCACATTGTTGTTTTGATGTCGTCCAACCTAATAGCGATGGCCTCCAACCTAATAGCGATGGCCTCCAACCTAATGGCGATGGCCTCCAACAGAATAGGAATGTCCTCCAACCTAATAGTGATAATAGCATCCAACCTAATAGGAATGTCCTCCAACCTAATATGCGATGTCCTCCAACCTACTAGGAATGTCCTCCAACCCAATAGCGATGGCCTCTAACCTAATAGGACTGTCCTCCAACCCAATAACGATGGCCTCCAACCTAATAGCGATGGCTTCCAACCTAGTAGCGATGGCCTCCAACCTAATAGGAATGTCATCCAACCTAATGGCGATGGCCTCCAACCTAATAGCGATGGCATCCAACCTAATAGCGATGGCCCAACCTAATAGGAATGTCCTCCAACCTAATAGCGATGGCCTCCAACCTAATAGCGATGGCCTCAACCTAACAGGAATGTCCTCCAACCTAATAGGAATGGCCTCCAACCTAATAGCGATGGCCTCCAACCTAATAGGAATGTCCTCCAACCTAATAGTGATGGCCTTCAACCTAATAGCAATGGCTTCCAACCCAATAGCGATG